GTGGGTCCGAAGCAAGTTCCCCATTTGCCGTGCTTCGAACTTCAGCCCTGTCCCGGAGGGTTTCCTCCTCCGGCTGACATGGTTAGGTGGGAGACCAGTGACTGCCAGTTCTGGTGGCTATTAAGTCAACACCTATCCACTAGGGACCGAACTGAGTTCGGTGTCGCTTCAAACATCCGTTACTGAGCTGTCCCAGTGCGGGGTGCTGGACTTCACCTCTCGAGGTCCCGCCCAGCCCTCTAGTTCTGTGATTTTAAAGGTGAACATTAACCTGCAGCTTGTCTGCTTTGGGTTTGTACGGGATTCTGTTTGTCGCTCTGTGCTCGACTCTAGACCTGCTTAGCAAGGAAGTGAAACCTGTCAAAGCAGCTGCTCCATAGTGGAGCGCATTTGCTCTTGCTGTTGGGTGGGGGATGGAAACGCAAGAGTTGAAGACGGATGCGAAGTGCGGTTGTGTGACATACACGCAGCTACTAAAGTAAAGCTTCCATGTAGTGCGTGTGGTAAGAAAATAGTAACCCCTATTTCAGTGGGCTTAAATCGGACTCAGTGACTTACTTACTGATCTACCTGTTTAAAAACACTGCATCCCACAGCCTGCTTGTTCCCTGCCTGCCACAAGTGCCTGTTCATAAAGTGGCTTCTCTTGTCCCTTTACAGCATAGCTGCAGCCCCAATCTGTTTGTGCAGAATGTCTTTGTGGACACGCATGATCTCCGTTTCCCTTGGGTTGCCTTCTTCGCTAGCAAGTAAGTGATCTGATGCTGAGGGGTTTTGTTGGCTGTCGGGCTGCTGCTGGTGCCGCTGGTTGCTTTTTAGTTCCTGATGGTTCAGGAGGTTGAAAACTTCACCAGGAGGCAAGACCTCTTCAGAAGTTGTACTTGGCTTGTGCCATGAGGATTCTAATGTGGTCTTGTGACTAGACCTGGGATTGGGGAATCAAGGCTTCTGGTTTCTCTTCCTAGCTCAGTCCCTGGCTTATTGTGAGCTTGGGCAGGTGGCTCGTGGAGAGACTTTCAAAGTCACAAGGTGCAGTTTAGGCACCCATCTGCCTTTGAAAGTCTTCCCCCCAGGGCCTGCAGTACCAGCTCTTGCCAAAGTAACTGGGAGCTGCAAGTTCTCCGTGCTTCTGGGGAAAAAGGTGCGGCCAGTTAATCGTTGGTGAAATAGTGACATTGCACCTTTCACAGATCGTGAAGCTTAATCTCTCAAGTACTTCTGTGGCCTTGATTACTGTAGCATATGAGCACCTCAGATCTTTAAGGAGGTAGAACAGGGCTTTTATGCCCCTTGTACAGATGAGGACTGAGGCCCAGAATGGTCTCTAGGACCTGGCAGAACAAGGAATTGAACCCAGGTTTCTTGGGTCGCAGGTTAAAGCTCTAACCACTAGGCTGTCCTGCCTCTGAATCCTATAACGAAATGTACTGGACCAGCCTTCGCTTTCTGGTCTTCCCAAAAAGAGCAACTGCAGCACCCCTGTGGTGGTCTGGCAGTAGCAGGGAAACAGTCTCGGTCCATAGCCACTGGCTACGCTGCCCTCTCCCCACCCACCTCTTTGTCACACGGGCTTCTTCCTTGTAAAGTTTGTGAAATGCTTCTGTTCCGCTGAGGCTGGTGGCACTGCCAAGGCACGGATCTCGCCGATCAACAGGCATAAGCTTTGCCCTGTGTCTGCTGGCCGAGATGCACAGACTTCCTTGAGGCCAGCAACTGCATCCCCTTCTGCTAGTTAAGTAACATGCTCACTTCCCTTCCTTCTCAGGAGGATACGAGCCGGGACTGAGCTGACCTGGGATTATAACTACGAGGTGGGCAGCGTGGAGGGCAAGGAACTCCTGTGCTGCTGTGGAGCTATCGAATGCCGTGGCAGGCTGCTCTAGCCATGCCGGTGCCCGCACAATGAAGGACAGAGGCTGCTGGCCCTGGATTCCCCGCAGCTCTGCTTCTGAGCCAGGAAAAAGTTGATTCTCAGCCACAGGCCTGGTCCCTACCCTCCCTGCACTACCTTTTGTCTGGGAGGGTGATGTACTGTATTTCAGCGGGAGCTGTTTTAATTACACCATGTTTGTCATTGTAGCTGTTATAAAGCTGGTGACAGTAACTTGGAGCTGCCCGGTTCACTTGAAAATATGCCTGCAGGTGCACAGACCACAACATGATCAGGCTCACAGAAGGGGTGGCTTGGCGTTGTGCAGAGGGCTGGGATGGCTCTCTGCCTTGGTGGGGTGCCTCCACCATCAGGTATTCAGCTAGCTGAGAGACTTAATACCTGTCATCATGACAGCTCAATTCAGGCATGAAACACGCAAGGCAGGCAGTACAGAAGGGTCCCCTGCTTTGCCATCCTGCAGCCAGCCTCTACTGCACACAAGTCTGCCATGTCAAATCCCCCATCCCCCCCAAAACTAGGCAACTAGTTAGAATTGGTGCCCTCTTGTTGAAATAATGACAATAAAGGGCAGCATTTTAGAGGCACTAGGGGTAGATCATCCACTGCAGGAACCTTCTTGGGATTTCCCTGTGCTATTACTGAACATGCTGGTAAGGCCCTGGGGGAGTGAACCAATGTTGGAGTTAAAGCAGAAGACCAAGGAGTTCAGCAGAAAGGAGAGATCTGTCCTCCTCTCTGACCTATTTGTGTTGTAAAAAAACCTGTCTGTTGAAAGCAATGGATGTGTTTCTTAAAAAATAAAACCCCCACCCTGCAGAACAGTGTGAACTTGAAAGTGGCTGGTGGCCTGCTCTTGGGAAAGCAGCACTTCTGGGGTGGATTTAGACTGAGCTGGGTAGTGGGCACATGGGATTTTACCTAGGACTTGGACACTGGGAACACCACTCACTTGTTGGTTAGTGAACAAACCCAGGTCTGTAAGGCTTCTGTACAGCTGCTCCCAGATGATATAGGCATGGAGGAAATATGATCAAACTTCACTGGAGGAAGGGATGCAGCACCTACCAGTGTGTATAAAATACTCAAAGCAGGTGTGATTAAATCTGGCCCATAACTCCACAGGCTTCAGTAGAGCCAGACCAAAACTGGTACAAGGCCCTTACTTGCTGTAACTGGAGTAGCCATGTTGGTTCCAGGGTATGTGTGTGTCAAGGCAGGTGAGTAATAGTTTATGGGACCAACTTCTCTCACCCTGTCTCAGAGGAAGCAATAAGGGCACAAAACCACAGTTTTAGGAGACTGGTGCTCAGTTATACAGCTGAGGATTGTTCTAGGGTTAAGTTATAGCTACATCAAATAGCAGACTAAGTCTTCTACAGGGCCAGGACTCTAACACACTATGCTGCCTGCCCTGGGCCAGGTGAAGGCACACTGTCTTTGAGAGCTTTGCATGACAACTAGCCCCCTCAGGGCTCATTGTCAAATTCCTTCACCCAGCTTTCCCTGTGGCTAGAGATGCCAGGGCACGTTGCTCACACTGGAAACAAATCTAAAAATATCTGCTCAGAGGACATTTGTAAAGATGTGGGTGCATCTAGTGGCAGCTGCAGATTTGCATGAAGAGCTTAATCTAGGGTGGCATGGGCTGCTAGCAGGGACAAATATCTACTGCTAGGCTCCAGCTGACACTGGCGGGAGTAAGCTTGAGCCGCTGTGGTGTCTATTTTGACCTGCTCATGGGGTTTCTCAGGGGCCAGTCTCAGCCTTCCAAGACCAAAGGGTTATGGCTGCAGGTGAAGCTAGAAGTGGCTCCTTTCCTTAAAGCAGAGGTGTAATTTCAGGCCTCTTTTTACAGGTGTAGGTGCTGTAGCCTGTCCAAGTCCCTGCACATCCAAAGGGGTTGAGTGATTTCCTTGTCAGGGTCTCAAACTAAACTGCACTTACAAAGGGATGCACTTGTGTCCTAAACCCAGAGCAGGTTCTACTCAACTCCGCCTAGAGCAGCAGGTTTAGCTTAACACACACTGGACCTTGGGCACTGTCACCTCACGAATCTGCCAGAACCACCCAATCAGCACATGGCACCTGCCACAGCATCTAGAGGAGATCCCTAGGCACCAGCTGTCAAACCGCAAAGGCCACGGGCAAGTCTGAGTTCACTGTGATCATGAGCGAACCAAGCTAGGGGAAGTACACTGTTCCGGTTGCTCCCCCCTTTCCAGCCTGCAGGGGCACGTACAAGCCAGCTCAGGGTCAGACCATCCACAAGGCACAGAGCTACAAAGAGCATCAGTGCAGGCCCCCTCTACTGAGCTAGTCAATGAAACGAATGGGTCATGGGAACGGAGGTTCCCTGGACCAGCAAAGGGGGTCACTCCTGAGCAGAGGTACTACACACATGGAGAAAAGGGACTCCACCCTTGCTAATGGGGGGAGAGAGTCTGACATTGGATTTTAAAGTGTTTTACAGTAATTACCTTTCCTTGGACATCTGAAAGCTCATCCTGTCTCTGTCCGTTTGAGGGGCTGCATGGGAATCTTGCAAAGCTAATAGATAAGTGCTATTAATAGCAGGGTTAAATCAGCAGCTGGTTCCTCCCAAGCTGCCTGTAGGAACAGCTGCCAGTAGCCACACTAGTATTTCAGCCGTGTAACCTCAGAGGGCTGTAGCAGGTGGCTTTTCTAGGAAGTGGGAGGCCAGTTGTGTTTAAAAGTAGGGCAGTAGAAAGCATATGAAGTTCTGAACCCACATTCTGGGCTTGGTTCCCCCAAGTGTTCAAGCTCTTAACTAAAGGCCAGACTTTCAAAAATTCCCCACACCTCCCAGTGGCCTCATCCAGGTTTCCAGGACACCTCAAAACCCAGCATGTTGAGTGCTTTTGAAAATCTGGCTGCTTATTTTGATGCCTTAAAAATGGGAGCTGATCCCTGCTATTGTAGTGACCATGTTACCACCACAAGGACGCTCCTGTGAAAACCACACCAGCTCAAGTCTTGCAAGCCTAGCACAGCTGATAGAAAAGCTGTGCGTTTCATACTGATCCAAACCCCTCAGATGGGCGGGGTGGGAAAAGGGTGACACTCCCCACAGAAAACACCACGCCTGTTTTTACAGAAGTTTTAGTTTTATTTAACTTTTAATAAATTTTAACTTTTAAAAAAACAACATTTTGGTCTGAAGTTAGGTTAATGGTCCTTTTCTCCAACCCCTCTGTCTAGCCTGGAAAGTTTTAATGCCTTCAGCATTTCAGCCCCCACCAAATCTGGGTTTACAGGGAAGGCTCTCTGCGCTCCAGTTCCTCTTTGTACTTAGTCCTCGCTTTAAAACAAATAAATAGGGAAAAAAATTCAGTTGTAAATTCATGTGTTGATTTACAGCCTGGGCAGAGGGGGGAGCAGCGCGTTAGAAGGGAAGTGGAATAGATCGTTCTTAAGGGTGATCAGGACCAATTCTCATAGAGCAACATAACGGGACGTATTAAATCCCACCGAAATAGGTACGAGGGAGCATGTCTAAACCACACAGCTTCCTTCCAGCAAGTATTCCATAGTGTCTATTAAATCAGCCATTAATACCCAGACCTTCATCTACTTAATCTAGCCTCCCCCCTGGTAGAACAAATGTCACCTGATCCCACAAGTCTGTTACTGTGGTGGTGAGCTGTAAACAGAGCACAAATTCATTCTGGCTGCTCTTCCTGCCTGCTCCCCCAATTCCTTTGCTTTTCTGGGCGCAATGGGCACATTTCGGTCACGCTGGGGAGCCAGCCGCCAAAGCTTTGACCTCCATTCACTAACTGTGGCAAGTAGCAAAGTCAAAATGGGGACCAGGGTCTTCTTTCAAAACTAGACCCCTTCATCTTAGTCCCTGAACTCCTTCACTCTGCAGCTGAGCAAAAGGCTCCCAGAAGGGCCTGAACTGCACGAATCCACTTAGCTAAGAGGCAGAGCTGAAACTGACAGGAGAGTCTTTGGCCTGCCTAGGCTTTGATTTCATGGTTTTGCTATTACCCAAGAAAGCAAAATTCTATGCCCCTTCTGCATGGGAAACACTACAATTTCCTCTGCAGCTGGAAAGGAGTTTGGGGAGAGGGCTTGCAGTCATTTAAAAAAAAACCCAACAAAGGGGAACGAGCGAGTCTTTGCAATTGAATCCAAACCCTCAGAGGACATTAAAGAGACAACAGACTTCCGCTTTTTGTGCGTTATTTCCACCAGCAACACAGCTAGGGAATTCCCTTCCAGAAACTTGAGAGGTGAGAAAAAAGCGACTAGAGAGGCAATGAAACCATACCTCACCAATAAAACAGACTGGGAAGGAACTGGCGCCAGCTTTCTCTGTGTGTGTGTGTAAAAAACACAAAAAAAGTGAGAGCAATTTGCCATCTCTCCCTCATGTAGCAATCTGGCTGTGCCTTCCACTATGCCCCTAGAGTTGGGGATGGGGCCAGATAGTCTTGCAGAAGGGAATCCTTGCATCCCAGTTTGGTTTTAAGGCAGCTGGGTGAGGATACAGAGAGAAAGGACACTACTGTATGGCGGTGGCACAAAGTGCTACCACCCCTCCCCCCCACAAAGTTGGCACATTTCCATCTGCAGCGATAGGAAAGAAAATTGACCTCAAATGATGTATTCTAAGCACACGTGTAGGTTGGTGCTGCCACTCCAGGATCCATGCCTTTAGCCTCCCCCCTAGATGGGTCAGCTATTTCCTTCCACTAGATCAGTTTTGGGAGAAGAGGGGGAGTAACTATTTATAGGGGACAGGAGGGAGACCCTGGCACTACTCTTGGTGGCAGGGTGGAAGCTGAAGTTCTCAAAGTTTTGGCCTTCTCAGCTCACGCCCGTGGTGGTGGGGCCGGGCGGCAAGCTGGTGACACCTCCACGTGCGCCTAAAATCAATCGGTTTTCCGGTGGTTGTTGTTCAGGACGGGGTGCCCGTTGGAAAGGGGCCCGTTCTTCGTCACTTCCTCCTCCTCCGTGTTGTCGGTCTCTTCGCGATCACTCCTCTCGTCTTCCACCACCTGGGGGGATCGAAAAGAAAGGCGCTTCATGAATCAAAGTGAAACGGGGCGAGCAGGCTAGAGCGGAGTGGGACTGGGTGTCAGGACTCCTGGGGTCTGTTCCTAGCGCTGCCACTGACTATCTGCAGGATCCGTTTTGCTTCTGTGCCTTAGTTTCCCTGTCTGAGGCCCACTCCATCCACAGCCCTGCCCTTCCTCCATTAGTGCCATCTGCAGAGGTAGCTTTGTGAGCCAGGCACTTGACTGGGAACTGGGCGAAATCCTCCCACACATCTCACACGAGGGCCACCGCACACGCTTTAGATGGTAACAGCCACTGCCTGGGACTGAGTTTGCACTCGCAACCGCGATGTGAAAGGCCCCCCTCTCCGTTTACCCCAGGGCTCACTGACCCCCTACTGCCTTGCCTTCCCTAGAGACGCTCCAGGACTTCGCTGCTGAGCTCTGGCTTCTCCCTGCCTCTGCCCGCTCCATGCTGTTGCCCTAGCGAACTTCTCCCGTTACTAGAGCTGACCTCCCCTAGAGCCACCACCCAGCATGTGGCCCCACCCGGTCTGGATGCCCTGGGATGTGACACAGGCACCTCAAATCACGCTGCTGCTTAAATCCCCAAGGCCCAGATCCTCATAGGTATTGAAGTGCCTAATTCCCATAGGAATCAGTGGGAGATAGGCACCTGCATTACTGAAGATCTGGACCAAAGGTTTTTCTCTATCCTCAAAAAGGCAATAGAGGCCCCAGTGCTCACCAACACCCCCGCCCTCACTCACACACACACACACCCCTCTGCTCCTCTGACAGGAATCTCTGCACTGTTGCACCACAAACAAACCAACAACCCTACAATGTGGACTAGGGTGTTTATCGTGTTATTTGTCCCCATTAACCAAGACAAGAAAAGGCCCCTCAGCCGGTCTTAAAAATTGCTGATCTCTTCCACTTCCCCATCCTCCCCAGAGAGGTGGCTTCCCTTTGCTTCCCTCCTGGCCCCTGGGTTCCAATGTAAGCGAAGGGTGACCTGGAAACAAACAAAAACACCCTCCCTCCCCACCAGAGAGAGTGAACCTGCCTTTCCAGTTATGAACTTGTGGGCCATGCGGATGATGAGATACGCCCAGAAGACATGCAGCGATTGGAGTACCACCATCATGAAGTTGAAGAAGTAATAGCCGAAGAAGGGCGGGTACAGGTCCAGAGGATAGACCACCGTGCAGTGCATGATCCTACAGGAGAGCACAGGAGACCACTGTACTGAAAGTGAGGCGGCTACGCAACCCTCCTGGTTCACGCTGCTCAGAAGCAAAATTGGCAGCATGGCCTAGTGGCTAGAGGGCCACCCTGGCTCTCAGGAGCCCTGGGTTCTATTCCTGGCTCTGCCAGGTACACGAAACGCAACAGCTTGGCCTTGTGGAACATCATCCGACGGCCAGCTTTTCCGCCCCACTGCCTGCGATGCTGTCCCAGGCCTGGCAGCAGCAGCAGCCCGGTGGTCAGAGGCTCGCTCACCAGAAGGGCAGGATGACGAGGCGCGTGACGATGAAGACGGCGGCGAACACGATGAAGATGTTGTTGCAGGTGTTCTTCCAGCCGGCGTAGTTAAACATCTTGGCAGACTGGGGGCGAGAGGCCAAAGCCACAGTAAGCTGCAGTGCCTTTGAGGGGTGGGAGGGGGCAGAGCGTGGGCCTTGGGAGACTCAGATGAGTCACTGCGTCTCTCGGGGGCTCTCCCACCCCTCGTCAGTCTCGACTGGGAGCTCCTTGGGGCAGGGGCCGGGTCTCGTTCCGTACATACAGCACCTCGCACAACAGGGTCCTGCTCTTAGCTGGAACCTCTACGCTCTAAGGTCGAGCGGCACTGCTAACAGCAGCTGCATGGTTTGGTTTTCAGGCAGGGCTTGCGTCTGGAGAGTAGCCCCCAGCTCCCGACGATGGACGTCTCTTAATGAAACGCAGAGTCATCCATTTCGCGTCAGGTGTAGTGCTGAAGCACCCAGAGGTCCCCGTGTGCCAGGTGCTGCCCAGATACAGAGTGAGACACTGTCCCCTGCCCCAAGGCACTCAGAGTCCAAATAGACCAGGGATGAGTCTCTGGACTCCTGGGTTCTGTGCTGGGCTCAGTGGGGCAGCCCCCACACCCCATGGGAGTGAGTCCCACTGGCTCCACGGGGGCGCCAGGGGGTCTGCTCTCACTGGCATGGTGGTTGTATGGTGCATCAGCCATGGGGAAGAGCCGCAGGGACTGGGTGGGGGGTTGCGCGCTGCTCCCCCCACCCGGCTCACCTCCAGCAGGTAGTCGGAAGAGTCATGCAGGGCCATGATCAGCGTCCCCGCCCGGATGTAATTGGCGAACCAGGAAAAGCTGATCAGGATGATGGTGGCCACATGATGGATGATCTGCTCTTTGAAGTCCTGCCGGGAAGAGGGGGGAGGGGAAAGGAAGGGATTAAGCCCCGCAACACACAAGAGGAGGGGTCAGACCCCAGCCCAGCCCCTCCTGCCCCAGATACACCAGGCCCTGCCCTGCCAAACCTCCTACCCCTGCCCCATCCCCAAACACACCAGACCCTCCCTGCCCAGCACTTCCAAGCTGTTCACTCCCCCAGCCCTGCCCAGACACCCCCAGCCCTGGACACAGAATCCCATGCAATATCCCAATCCGGGAGGTGGAGAGGGGCTACCTGGGGATCACCAAGCAACTACACCCATGTAGTGGGGGAAGGGCCACATTCCTAGTACCAGGGCTGGTTTGGGGGCCACTGCTCGCCCTATGGAGCTAGTGGAGGCAGCCCCAAGTAGAAGCCCTCTGACCCCAGCAGACCCTTCCCTCCCAAGTCCTGGAGGCCTAGAACTGATCAGGGCAGAGGGGATTCTCTCCAGAGCCCCACAGGGTCGGTAGGAGCAGCCCACAGATCTCATCCCCATTCAGCAGCAGCCCGGGACTGGGGATGCACATGGGTCTCCATCCAGCCCCCCGCCTTCCCAGAGACCCCTGCCTCCTGCACAGCCGGGCCCGCAAGAGACAGCCTACCTTGCGCTTCACGTCGGAGGCGATGCTGAAGAGCAGGGACCAGTAGAACGACAGCTCAATCATGTAGTACCAGTACTGCGACGGCAACGTGGTCTGCAAGGCAAAGGGGGACAGAGAGCGAATCGTCACAATGCTCTGCTGCAGCATGCGCGCGCGCCCTCTGCTGGATGGGATCAGAATGGCACCACTGTGTGTCATAAGCCCAATTCTGCACAGAACTAATGAGGATTCTCTAGTAGCTCAAGCAGCAGGGACCTGAGCTTTGGAAGCAGGAGGATCTGAGCCTTGACATCACCCTGGATTTCTAGATGGCCACAGGCCACATATTGCACTATCCCAGCAATTCCTTAGAACTCCCTCCAAGGAGATGTTATCCACCAAGTAGTTGCCAGGTAACCATCCTGACTTCGGAGCACATGCACCAATGGACACGCGTCCCAATGAAGCAGGGAGCCCGTGCTGCGTGGGCAGCTATGCTGGAGCCCGAGCTGAGCCAGGACTCTCTGTCCAGCGGCGCTAACCCGAACAGCAGGCGCATGCTGGACTCACCTGGATCGGGTACCCTTTCCACACTTCCTTCAAGTCGTAGAACCAGGGCTTCTGTGAGGAAAAGCGGGACGGGGGAGACACGGCAGAGGTTAGCAGGGCAGCTTGGCCAGGATGGGGTGAGAGACCGGGAAGGGGTCAAAACGGCAGATCTTACTTACGTCCACTATGACGGCCATGCCAGCAATGAAAGCAATAAGGTAAAAGGTGAATCGCCAACTGGAAAAAGGAAGCAGATGGTTCTCAACAGAGGAGCCGGGGGCGGGGTGAAGGGGAGAGAGAACACATCATGGGCAGGGCCGGTAGGGAGCCCCAGACGCTGGGAGCTCCAGAGCGAGCCGGCCCAGGGGACACAGGGTTGAAGCGTCCGTCTGGGTCACGGGGGACCCTTTCTGTGCCTCTCTCGCGATCTAGCAGGGACGGAGCCTTGTCCTATGCCCTGGGAGAAAACTGGAGAGGGGGAGGAGCTAGCCTTGCAGCTGCTGGGTTTTAAGAGTCCCCTCAATCCTGTCACCCTCTTGCCTTGAAGCTGGAGCTGGAGCTGTGCTCAGAGCCGAGCTGGGCTCAGAAGCAGCGCTCACCAGCTTGGGCTGGGGAGGGAACAGCCTCTTCCACTCCCACGCACTCCCTCCCCCTCCCCCAACCTGCCTGCTCAGTTCTGATGGCAGCGCACGGGGGTGACAGGGCACTATGGACCTAAGGGGATCACCCCAAATAGACTCCCGGGGCCCCCCACGCTGCCGTTCCAGCACTCACAGCCCACAGATGCTCCCTTCACTACCACTGGAGAACCACCCACCTGCCAACCCCTGCCGGGTCTCATTACAGCGAGAGCCCCGGGTCCGCCCCACGGTGCCCAGCTCAGCAGAGAGCACAAGGGGGTCCCGAGTTCAGAGAGAGATGGGCTGCAGGGGGTGCTGCAGACACCAGGGTGCGACAGGGTCGCTGTTGCACAGCTGGGCGAGCGGCACCAGGCTCTTACCTGGCCTCCCGGAACTTCTTGAGCAAGCTGGGCCTGTCCTGGTTGCGCCTGCGTCGGAACCAGCGCTCCACCTGCCGGACCATGCAGCCGCTCTTCTTGGAGAGCATCTCGACGTCGCCCTGGGAGGGGAGAGACCCGGGGCAGTTACCGGATGCCAGGGTGACCCAGGGGCTGGCTGGGCCCCAAGACCAGGCCACAGGGTGGTCAGTGGGAGACAGGAGCCACTCATGCCAGGGGAAGCAGAGGGTGTCTGCCTGACAATCAGGGCTGTGGAATGGCAGCTTGCGTGGAGCTACCCAGGCTTGCTTTGGTCTCATGAGCTCAGGTCCTGACCATAGCGAAGACGCCGGGTGGGGGCATCTAGCCCATGAGCAACTCTGGGGGCCCAGACTTGCCCTGACCTGGTGCTGCTGCAGCTTTGCTGCTCCTGAGCTCGCTAAAGCGGGTCCGTCTACACCCACTGCAGCCACAGCCCGCTGTTACTGCACAGCCAGGCCCAGGGAGCCGAAAACGGGTTTGTTTTGAGCCTTCAGAGCCAGTGGCCACAAGGGCTGGGGGGCGCAGGTGCCTGAGAGAGTGAGAAGCTGAAAGCGACAAGTGCAGGGTACTAGCTCCTCTGCAATCCTGACCCACAGGCTGTTAGCCTCGCACACCCCGCTCTGCTGGGGCCCCTCAATCCCAACCCACCCTGGCTAGCCCAGCTCTGGGTTTACCCCACACAGAGCTCTGCCCAGGCCCCTCATTCCTGACCCACATCCCCATGCTATCCCAATTCCTGACACCCCCAGCTCTGCCGGTGCCCCTCACTCCTACCCGGCAGCCCCCTGCTATCCCAGCCTTAGGCTCCTCAATCCCAACCTGCATCCCCCCCTGCTAATCCAGCCCGGGGCTCCCCCTCTGCCCCAGCAGCTGTGCCAATGCCCCTCAATCCTGCCTTGTACCTCCTCCCTGTTATGCCAGCTCTGGGAACCCCCCAGGGCACAGGCTGCCATTCTGGCCAGCTACCTACTGGGGATGAGGCAGAGTGCCTGTAATGATCAGGAATGGATCCCCACCCCACCGGGGGGAAAGACCAGTGCTTTAGCCCCTGCATCGCTCAAGCCGCATGCAAAAGCGCCCCCGAGCGCTAAATGCAGCCACTTCGCTCCTCAACTTGCCTCCCCGTTTCTTCCAACACACAGAGCCAGATTCATTTAATACCATCACATTAATGCCCCAGCCGCCTGGCTAGCCCCGTACAGATCAGCTCCCAGAGACCCCAGGTGGGAGAGGGCAGCCCGGGCACCTGACCCACAGCACCCGGGTGCAATACCAGCACCATGCCCGTCACAGGCAACACACGTCGTGTCATCCCGTCCCCCCTGCCGGTGGCACGCACTGTACCTGTTTGGGGTGTTTTGTGGATGAAGCGTAGAACTTTTCTAGCACGGGATTCGGGGTGGCTTTTAATCGGATCTTCTCCTTGACATTCAAAAGCCCGGCTAGTGGGGTAGCCACATATCTGGGGGTGGGGCGAAGCGGGGGAGAGGAATGGGGAACACAGGCAGAAAACACATGGTTAGAATAATGCTTTAGAACATGGAGGCCCTTCCCTTTGTGGCCATCTGGCGTTGTTATAAGATGGGGCCACAGTCTAGAAAAGGGAGAGCACCACGGCTTTCACACAGCTTTTCACCATCTGTGCAAGGCGGAGGAGGACACGGCTCTCCAGAGTACAGCACTTTGAGATCTATGGATGGGAAATGCCACGGAAGAGTTAGGAGGAGGAGTTATTAGTGTGTGCAGCACCTGGCACCATGCGGCTATTAGGTGCTACCATAATATGTCTAATTATTAGGTAATAACTCTTCAGGGCAGGAACCGTGCGTCACCCTACATTTGTGCAGCTTCTGGCAAAGACACACCCATTACTGCTTGCCCTGTAGGCCCTACCATAACACGGATCCATATGGACAATCAATTCCCTCCTGCAACCTGACAGCCCTCAGATCAGAACTCCAAAGCTGCCTGTAAAGTCACTGACAAGAATTCTGCTGGGCAGTGGCCATTAGGTGGCAGTCAAACCCACATGACAGAGCAAACCTACCTGAGCCAAAGGGATGCAGATGGCTCGGGAGGAATCTTTAACATCCTTCCCATTTTACAGATGGGGAAACTGAGGGACGGAGAAGGGACTGGACTCACTCCCCTGTCATACAGTTGGTGAGAACAAAATCCAGGAGTCCTGTCTCCCAATCTTTAAGCCCACTCCTGTCCCAGAGCTGGGGACAGAACCCAGGAGTCCTGACTCCTAGCAGTTGGAGCAAAGAGTTAAAGTCAACAAACAATGTGTGTGTTTTGATCAGACGACCTGCCATAATGGAGGTGACTGACAGGCGCAGGGGAAGTAAAGGATTAAAAATCAGAGTGGGGGCTCTGAACTGATGGCTGGGGAGACAGAGTGAAAGAAAAATTAATTGAGGGAAGAGAAGAAGAAACACTCAGAGGGAGAGAAGTGAATGATATGAAAGCAAAGAGACAGACTGAGCATGTCTTTAACTGAGGGGAGAGGAAAAAAAGAACGGGCGACAGGAAAGATAGAAAGAAAGAGAAAGTCGAAGGCTGGGAAAGTGAATCTTCCCTTTGCTACACAGAAAAGAAACATCTCTAGCCCCCTTCTTCCCAGTCCAAGGCCCCTGCTTTCATCCCACACAGGTTTTGTATTTACTGACAACATGTGGGGAGACATCCCCACAGAAACCCAGCCCCCTCCTCCCCCAGCTTCACACTGCTCCTCCCACCCAGCTGCGATCACAGCAAGATGCTCACAGGCATAGAGCACCCAGGGCGCACACACACAACACAGGCGGGCAGCTCCCGATAGAGCTCCACCCACCCACGTGCCTGTGCCGATCCCCCAACAAAGCCAGCTCTGTTCTCAGGTCTCCGTTTGTCACCATGACAGTGGTTTATACAACAAATTGCTCTTTAATTCCTTGGCCCAGCTGTTCCTGCCTCAGCCCCCAGCATTGCTGAGACAGTTGGGATCGGGGGCTGGACTGCACAATGCAAGCATTTGTGCAGTGCGGCCTGGGATGGGTGCATATAAATATACTCCACATGCTCCGTATTCCTAGAAGCTAGGAGGTTAGAGACCATCTACCAAGCTTTATCTCATTCCCACAGAGGTCAGTGCAGGTCGCAGCCTGCAGTCCATTGTCTGCTGCTTCATGCAGTCTGGGTTTAGGACTTTTTACTATTTTGGAGGGAGGGACAGCGTGTGTACGATGCTGTCTACACTGTGTACCTTAGCTGTGCCGCTACGGCCGTACCGTTGTAAGGTACGCAGTGCAAAATAAAACCACACCCAACGAGGGGCAGTAGCTTTGTTGGCGGGAGAGCATCTCCCACCAACAAAATGCTACCCACACCAGCACTTTCCATTGGTAAAACTTTTGTCAGTCAAGGAGTTTTTTTCACACTCCTGACAAAATTTTGACGGAAGCGTAGTGTAGACACAGCCCAAGTAAAATAAGGAGATTCTCCCCCGTTCATTTGTCCCGTCCCACCCAATCAGGATCTGATCCAGAGTCCATACCGCCCAGAAGGCACCCATGGCCCACACACTGGACTGGGGGATTCAGGACTCCTGGGTTTTGTTCACAGCTCTGGATGGGGAGTGGGGTCTAGTGGGTTAGAGCAGAGGGCTGGAAGTCAGGACTCCTGGGTTCTACCGCCAGCTCTGAGAGGGGAGTGGGGTCTAGTGGACAGAGCAGAGTCAAGACCCCTGGGATCTATCCCCAGCTCTGGGAAGGAGTGGGGTCTGTGGTTAGAGCAGGGGGGTCAGGATTCCTGGCTCTGGGAAGGCAGTGGGGATGTGGGGATTTGAACTGGGGCCGGCCAGATTTTCTAGACCGCTCAGGCACCTTAACAAGGTCTGGGTTTGCAGAAGCACCTAATGTGCACCCAGTGTTATGAAAATCTGCCCTCAACTGCCTGGCATTAAAGACAAAACTTCCTCTAGGGACTGGATATTCCCTCACTGTCCGCCAGGGGGAGCTCTTTGCAGCTGGCTCCAGCCAGGCTGCAGGAACGGAGGCCGACCTGGCCTCCCCAAAGGGTACTCACATTTCAAAGAGGTGCCTGACGATGAGGAAAAGGAAGGCTAAGGGGATGGTGATGTAGAGGTCCGAAGCCTTGGCATAGACCCGCCCATCCTGGTCTTCCAGGTCCGACCATGTCAGGTTCACTGGCAACCAGAGCCGGTCCCACCAAAAGTAATTGTATAACGTCTGGAACATCCTGCAGGGGGAGAGAGACAAATGGAGTGGCTCATTCATGCCCCAGGGTTCCCTGAGTCTCCTACTCATGCCCCTGGGCAACACAGACCAAGGCCCCCGCCTCCACCCTTGGATTCCCACCTCCCAAGCTACAATAAGCAGCATGGACACACATGACTTATCACGGCTGCTCCAACCCTCGCAGCCCTGGGATCCCACCACTCAAAGCACAGGCCCCTGCCTGTCCCAGAGCAGGAGGAGAATCACCGTAAGCCCTACAGTGCTAAGGACACACAGGAAAGTGGTGAGAACGTAGCTGGCGCAGGGGGGCTGGGAGGGGGTGTGTGCGCAGAATGCTGCAGCTGTTTGAACACCACACGGCAGTTTAGCAAGCAGAGAACCTTGTATGTGACTGAAATCACAGGGGAAGTCCAGGAATGCCAAGTGTGGAGGGTTGAAAAGTGCTATGGGGTCTACAGTGGCTGCAAAGGGTCAGGGTTGGGACAGATGTACAGCCGGTCACATGCCACGTTCAAGTCCAGACACTCTCTTAAGTACAGATGTGTACGTCCTTTGGGGCCGGGACTGGCTTTTGGTTCTGTCTGTACAGCACCTAGTGCCAGGGGGTCCAGAATGGCGACCCTAGGTGCTACTGCAGTAAAAATAAACAGCGTCAGTAGGAGGCGCCAGCAGCACAAATGCACCCAGCTCTGCATCTAGCCTTCACTCACCTCCATGCAAAGTTCCAGCGTCTAGTCCCCCTGCCCAGCTCATCCCAGCCACGCATGAGAGACCCAGTTACATTCTGCCTGGGGCTCAGAATAGAGGAGGCTGAGCGGGTGACAGGGGCTTTCCTCAGGATGACTGCAGCACCTGGCTGTGACACACAGGCTCCTTGGCAAAGGGTCCCTGGCTCTTTGCGAACAACTCTCACCTCAGACCTGACAAACGCACTACACCAAACATGTCTTACAGGATATTTATCCACCAAGAGTAAGCTGTAAGGTGGGGTGAGCAAACTTTTTGGCCTGAGGGCCACATCTGGGAATAGAAATTGTATGGCGGGCCATGAGTGCTCACACAATTGGGGTTGGGGTGCGGTAGGGAGGGAGGTCTCTGGTGGGGGCCAGAAATGAGGAGTTCAGGGTGCGGGAGGGGGCTCCGGGCTGGGATTGAGGGGTTCGGAGAGCAGGAGGGGAATCAGGGGATTTAGAGGCTCAGGGACACAGGCTAGAGGCAGCGCTTACCTCAAGCGGCTCCCAGAAGCAGCAGCAACAAGTCCCTTCTCTGGCTCCTATGTGGAGGTGTGGCCAGGTGGCTCTGCATGCTGCCCCCGTCCGCAGGCACTGCCCCTGCAGCTCCCATTGGTTGCGGTTCCCATTGGCTGCAGGGGGCGGCGCTTGGCTCCCATTGGCTGCAGTTCCCAGCCAATGGGAGCTGCAGGGGCCAGCGCTTGGGGCAGGGGCAGCATGCAGAGTGGAACCCCTTGGCTGCCCTTACACATAGGAGGCAGAGCGGGGCCATGCCGCTGCTTCCGGGAGCTGCGTGGAACAGCCCCCGACCCTGCTCCCTGGCTGGAGCACGGCAAGCACCAGACCCTGCTCCCCAGCAAGGACTACAGGGCCGGATTAAAATGGCTGGTGGGCCAGATCCAGCCCGCGGGCCATAGTTTGCCCACCCTTGCTGTAAGGTGTCTAAAGAAAGCTCATAACTTGTCAAGATTCACAACTGTACGGGTACTAGCAAGGACTAATGTATTTCTACTGACAGTATGCTTTATGGACTTGCAGTAAAAAAAAAAAATAGTCACCAGGATATAGGTCTCGGTGACAGCCCACGCAGGCAGGCAGGGAGTTGTCATGCCTCCTCTATTTAGCGGGTGATGCAATGCAAGGCTCCTTTGTTTAGCCTTGCGCCATACAAACAATCAAAACCTCTTAAAGGTGAAAAAGGAGGATTGCAACAAGACCCGGGCTCGCCCTGGCTGTGAACAGGAACAAACCTGGCTGTGAACAGGAACAAAACGCTGTTTCAGTCTTAACAGAGGACGGAAGGGCTCTTTGGATCCAGTCAAGGAGGAAACCCCTTTAGGAGCAGGGGTGTTTTCACCAACGTTTGGATCCTGGTTCTTCTGCAACAGGCTGAACATTGGGGAGAACCCGACTTTATTAGCTAGGAAAGGGAACTATTGATAAGTGCTGACCCAGCTTTGCGTTTTGTTTTGTATCGCAACCTTTTCTCTCCACTGCTTTCTCTTGTTTCTAGTTAAATCTCTATTCTCTCTCCAATAAACCGCTTTGGTTTTATTAAAAGTGCTCACAACTGCAGAGTGGTTTACGGTAAACTAGGGCACACTGCTCCTGCGGGGACAGAGGAGCTGGGATTTCTGTGAGCATCAGGGGCCCAGGGGAACAATTCAAAAGGGCCTCTTGGACTGGGGCACATCTCTTGCTAACCAGCAAGGCAAAGACAGGGCTGGCATAACCTGGAAGAGAGTGCCTGGGCGGCAGAGAGGCTGGTGGCGTATGACCAGCCAGGCATGGCCAAGACTCAAGCTGGAGGCAGTGGGTGGTAAGATGGCTCTCAGTGCTGACTGTCAGGCTGGCTCTCTGCCGCCCTCCCACCCCAGCATGTGCAGAAGACCACCCTCCAGATCAGCCATGGGGCTGGCTCCCAGAGACAGGGGTACTGCCCTGCCACTCTGACAGCAACTCAGTGCAAGCGGAGCGGATGTCTCCTGATTGCCGTTTGCCTCCATGTCACAGATTCCAGTCCAACCCACTCCCTGGCAGTGAAGCCAGAGAGAGGAGGCTGCCCAGTGTCTGGGTCGAGGCCCATCTCAGTGTGAGCAGCTTGTACGAAACAGGGCTGAAACCCACTAAACAACTCCCCTCCCCCATGTGGCTGCATAATATGCAGTTCAGTCTGGGACTGTGCTTCACCCCAGAGATTGTTGCCCTCCATCAGTGCTGGAGAAACACAAGATCCACCTTCCCCCTTCTTGCATCGGCAGGGCACCTGGGTTCTATTGCCAGCTCCGCCACTGCCCTCAGACAAGTCATTGCCCTGTATGCCTCTGCTTTCCCTCCCAGCCTTTGCCTTGGCTATTCGGACTGTGAGCTCATCAGAGCAAGGACCGTCTCTCACTCTGCGCCCATGCAGGGTCGTGATCTCTGTGGCTGTTGTAATACTCTACAGCTTAACAGGGAGCATGGAGCACTAAAAAGCTTAATGGTGACCAGATACTCAGCACAATATTCACAACAAGGGGGAGGGAACGCAAGCCAAAACAGGGACAGAACAGGTTAAAGAATATTTAGCTAAGTTAGTCAAGTATTCAAGTCAGCAGGGCCTGATGAAATTCACCCTAAGGTACTTAAGAAGCTAGCTGAAGCAATCTCAGAACTGTTAGCAATTATCTTCCAAAACTCATGGAGGAGAGGTGAGGTCCAAGAGGACCGGAGAAGGGCAAACACAGTACCGGTCTTGAAAAAGGGGAACAAAGAGGACCCAGGGAAATATAGACGAGTCAGCCTGACTTCAATACCTGGAAAGATACTGGAACAAATTATTGAACAATCAATTTGTAAGCACCTGGAAGGTAACAGGGTGATAAGCAATAGCCAAGAACAAATCATGCCAAACAAACCTAATTTTCATCTTTGACAGGATAACTGGCCTAGTGGATGGCGTGAAGCAGTAAATGTGGTATATCTTGATTTTAGTAAAGCTTCTGACACCTTCCCACATGGCATCCTCAATTGCACACTACAGAATGTGGTCTAGCGAAAGGTGGGTGCACAGCTGGTTGAAAGACCATACTCAAATATAGTTATCAATGGTTCGGGATCAAACCAGGGGGGCGGGACACATGACATGACACACACGACAGACAGATTTAGTGAGGTTATGCAGGGGTCAGTCCTGGGCTGGTACTATTCAATATTTTCATTAATGACCAGGATAATGGAGCTCCAGAGGACACCAAGCTGGGAGGAGTTGCTGGCCCTTTGGAGGACAGGATTAGAATTCTGACAAATTGGCCTGAAATCAACAAGATGAAATTCAATAAAGAGAAGTGCAAAGTACTTCACTTAAGAAGGGGTGGAGGGGGAAATCAATTGCACAGCTACGAAGGGGGATTAAGTGGCTGGGTAGTAGCACTGCTGACAAGGATCTGGGGGTTATAGTGGATCACAAATTGAGTAAGAGCCAACAATGTGATGCAGTTGCGAAAAAGGCTAGTATCATTCTGAGGCATGTTAACAGGAGTAGCGTTTGTAAGACAAGCGAGGTAATTGTCCGGCTACATTCAGCACTGGTAATGCCTGCATCCAGTTCTGGGTGCCACACTTTAGGAAAGATGTGGACAAACTGGAGAGAAGCCAGAGAGAGAGCAACAAAAATGATAAAAGGTTTAAAAAACATGACCTAAGAGGAAAGGTAAAAACCTGAGCAAGTTTAGTCTTGAGAAAAGGAGACGGGGGACCTGATAACAGTCTTCAAATATGTTAAGGGCTGTTACAAAGGAAGGTGATCAAATGTTTTCATAGAATATCAGGGTTGGAAGGGACCTGAGGAGGTCCTCTAGTCCAACCCCCTGCTCAAAGCAGGAGCTATCCCCAATTTTTGCCTCAGATCCCTAAATAGCCCCCTCAAGGATTGAACTCACAACCCTGGGTTTAGCAGGCCAATGCTCAAACCACTGAGCTATCCCTCCCCCACTGGGCATAGGACAAGTAGTAATAGGTTGATTTCTGCCTCTATGCCTCAGTTTCCCAGCCTGTGGAAAAGAACTAACACTTGCCACATGGGAAATACAGAAGGGGCTATATTCAAAATCCTTTAAGCCCCTTAGAGGAACAGGACACTAGAGTGTAGCTTAACAGCTGCCCCTCCCCTCTCCAGAGGTGGCTGCATATTGGTCCTGGATGGCAGCATGCAAGGACAAGCAAATCTCCCACCCCATCTCCTGCTCCTGGCCTTGGACAGCCCAGGCCCTTCTCCCAGGTCAGCTCTCTA